TTATTTTGGCCATAATGCACCAGGAGCTCATTTTCTATCATAATTCTCAAATTGTTTTCAGTCATTGCTTCCTATGATAGAGTACTACATCTTATAAGTCTGTCCTATGTTAGTCATTTCACATTTGTTTAGGAATGGTGCATGCAACTACCTTGGGACATTTTCAAACACTTACTGTGCTAACAACGGGGGAGGATTGCAGTTCTACAAGAATTCAAATGCAAACACTAATCAAATAACTGTCCAATTCTACTATATACAGTAGACTTCTGATAATCCAGCACCCTTGATACCCAAGGGATGCCAGACTATCGGATATGCCAGAGTATCCGGAGGTACTCCGGCAGGGTGCTGTAATGGGGCTTCTGGGACCTGCACTGCATGGGGGGGGGAGGGGAAGTGTCAGCAGGGAACAGCATGGGAAGAGATGAACCCTCCACCGTGTTGCGGGGGAGGCGGTAGAAGCCCTGTGCAGCCGGCTTGCAAGTGGCAGTGGCAGTGGCAAGAGAGAGGCAGCTGTTTAAGCCACTTGCAAGCAAGCTGCGTGGGGCTCCCACTGCATCCCTGCAACACAGCAGAAGGTTCACCCCTCGCCGAGCCCCCGCCTGCCCGCCTTAAACAGCTGCCTGCCTCTCACCCCCTGCTCTGGGCAGCTCCAATTGTCCGGCTGGCCGGAGCACTTCCGGGTTCCAGTTGGTGCCGGACTATCAGGAGTGCGGGACTGCTGGATGCCGGACAATTGGAGTTTTACTGTATTTGAGTTTGTCTGTACTCCTAATTAATAAGAGCTAAGACCACCAAATTCGATATAGAGATTCCTCTTATAATAAGCAAGGTAAGGGTTTGGTTGTGCTAAGAAAATGGGATGTGCCTAGAAAGGGATTGCTTCTCATAGATCCATACAGAAAAAAAGAGAATCATCAGGCATGTGAAAGGGGCTGATTGGAGGTGCACCCCCAACATTGGGGACTGCTCCAACCCCAAGCTTTCCATCCCATAAGCATCTTTTAGGGAGGGCAGGGGGGCTGAAGTGCCCCCCTCCCACACATTTGTATAGGAACATTGCTGTTTCCCTTTGTGCCATTTATTGTATTCCTCACTCTAGCTGGGGAGTACAGGCAGGCAGGCGAACCCGGACCTGAACCTGCCCCAGCTCGGGAAGGGGTGCATAGCCTTCCCCTAGATGCACGCACTGGAACTGCAACAGCCAGAGAAGAACTTCTTACCTTGGCCCCAAGTCCTCTCTCCCTGGGGTAGCCTGCATACTGAACCCCTCATCCCCAGTTTCACCCCAGAGGAATGATTTAAGCGAAGCATGAACATTTTCATTTTATTTTTCAAAAAGCAAAAACTGAGCTCAGGATCCAAGTAATACTAGGAAAATCTTCTAGTAGAATATAAAATAACTCATCCAGAGGAAGAGTGATGTGTATAGAAACATCACTGAGGTCAAATATTTTACAAACATCTTAAGTGAAATTTCTCACACCATCCTAGATTTGTCTTCATTTTTATTTTGATAATTGATCTCAAATTGAAAGCTGGATTATTGAGTCTCAATATATACAGGTGAAGAGGTATAGCTTCTCTCATAAAGGATTGATTCTTCTGTTTTGGTATACACGATACATTTATTAAATTAGAATGAAAAAAGTAAAAATATATTTTTACAAGAAAAGAAAAACATGGACACCAGGCCTCAATACAGTGAGAAACAATGCCTCCATAATTATTACAGGAAACATCCTCTGTACAGTATTACATGTCAACCGATACAAGTAATATTTATAAAGGGAAAACATTCAGTACCTTCAGCACACAAGAACAGCAGCTGATGAGAAAGTAGCAAGGATCTAGCTAGACAAACATATTCCTATCTTTAGCCAGTACAGGCCTTTGGCAGAACTGAAGCTAGTGTGAACAGCATAAACTTTTAGTAAATGCAAGTATTACGCAGCTGGCTTTGGTTCCAGGCTGTTGTAAGCTACTGAGTGCAACAAGTACAATCAAGACACATTGTTCTACTAAATGAAGCATATATGTCACAGGCTGCAACAGAATGTGAGATGGATGTAATTTAAAACAAAACCCAGCAAAGTATTACCTTTCAGTTCTGCATTTCTGGACCCTCAACTGCTCGCTTTAATTATTCCTTGCAAGTTCAAAATCCCTCAAGACCTGAAGCTAACAAGAAACAGCAAAACAATTGTGGAGGATATGTATATTGAGAAAAACTGAATAGGCTCATGATTTTTGTTTTATTTATTTTAATGGCAAAGAAAACACAGTAGTCTATATTGGAGGCTTCTTTTCACACTCATAATGCTCAAGCTCCATTAAATTAAAAACCCAGGTCAAATATTTCTTAATATGAAAACATAAGTAAATTTTAATCCAAAGGCCAACTTATTGGCGACACTGCTCCTAAACTAACCACCTTCAATCTATGCAGCTTCTCTCTGGAATATTTCATAAAACAAATGTATCATACAAAAAAGGACTTCTAAAAGTTGGTCTTGATGTCCCATGGAAAACTGGAGGTTCCCCCAATCTAGTCAGTCTAACATTCTCACTTCCTCCTCCTAAGAGGAGCTCTTTGTTCTACTCTTACATATCAGGTGACAGCAAAACGATTTTCCCCAGCCACAGAGCAAACGAAGACCACTTGCCTTAGAAAAAAAATCTACTATTGTAGACTCCAAGTAATTATATATAAATCTTTATTATGTACATTTTCCCTGAATTGTTCTATCCTAGCAAATCATCCCATTTGTATGAGAAAGTTATAGCAAGGGACTCCATCCCTAAATTTTTACCAAGAAGTTGAGTGATGATCTTTTGCTTGAAAATGTATGCTGTCAATGCCAAAAGAAGTCATTGTGCTATGCAGACAAAAACCAGATGCTTAATCTAGTATTGAGTTTTGCGATTAATACACAATGGGACACGGTACGAACAAGAGGAGCAAGGCTAGAAAAGGAAAAGCTGTTTCTAGAGAAGCAAATGGAAATGATGTAATGGGCTTGTGCAGGTAAAATGCAGAGAGACTATAGCCTTGAATTCCCAAGGAAATGTAAAACCAGCAGCAGAATAAAAAGACAGAAGTAAATTTTTACAAGATACAAGTCTGCCAATTCAGACAATGGGGAATTTGTGTCATGAATACAAAGTGAGTGTCTGACAACATAAAAAGAAGTTTAAAAAAAAAAGTCAGCCAATGAAAGAAAACCCGGAGCGATTTTGGTACTATATTCAAAATCTCTCAACCCCCGACTCTTTAAACTAAAAAAATATTCATGAGCCATCACTGGCTTTGGCAGGAAGCTTCCTGAAGGCATTGGGGAAAGCAGTTTATTTGTGAATAAAAATCTTGTGCTTGGGAAGAACAAAAAAAAGAGGAAGGAGACAGAATAAGGGCTCTTTCCTATGCCAAATCTGGCTTAAAGTTCTCATGTACCACTCTTGAGGATCCTGTATTTCAAGTGTATATTCAAATACAAAGAAAATACAAGCTATGGCTATTGTACAAAGTATTGTAAAACAGTTTTTAAAACACCAAAAGATAGAACAGTGACATTGCACAATATTGAAAATAAATTTGTGTATATACTTAAAGTGCATTATTTTGCAGTTTAAAAAAATTAAGAAGCTGCAGAAATTTATCACAGGTATAAATCTATCCTCTCTCCAAAGACTTGGCAGTTCTGTGCTATAATGTTGCATACACATTAACACATGAAATCTCCTTCTCCTTTACAAGGATCTGCCAATTTAGGATAGGTCTGATTTTCCATTGTAACTCATTGAAAAGAATTTCTATATTTTAAAATTCAACTGAATTAGTTAAGATCAACTGTAACAATGAATAATTAAAACAGCTCTTTAAATACTTTTTATACCTACTGAAGATTCTGCAGCTCTCTGCTACTCCATATTCCAGACTACCAAAATTTTTTTTCCTCATTAAAAGTATTTTTTCCTCCATGCAAAAAGATAGTTTTGCTGAAAAAAACAAGAGTGAGTGTAGCATATTTCTTCTTATTTCAGCAAAACAAGAGTGAGTGTAGCATATTTCTTCTTAAAACAAATGCTATATGTAAAAAAATATCTCTTATTACAAGACAGCTCCTTAAATAATTAAATGCTTATTTTATACATAATTTTCCAGGTATAAAATTTTTCCTTCTGCATTCATCCTTTGGAAGAATCACAGGAATGTAGAAGCAAGACGAGTGCAAGTAACAGCAGGAACACACTGGGGCCCAATCTAGTGCTCAGAAATCACATTGCACATCTGGAACACCATATCCTACACAGATTTCACTAATACAGCAACGTCATGTCAGGCATGTCTAGACTACATCCCTCTTTTAAAAGAGGGATGTAAATTACACAGATCAAAATTGCAAATGAAGCCGGGATTTGAATTTCCTGCTCTTCATCTGCATAATGGCAGCCGCGCGTTCTTTAGAAAAAGAGCTTTTCGAAAGTGAAACTGCTGTCTAGACGCGATTCTTTCGAAAAAACCCTTTTCGAAAGATCCTGTACTCATTTTTTGAGTATAGGATCTTTCGAAAAGGGTCCCTCCCCCTTTTCTAGATAGCGGCTTCACTTTCGAAAAGCTCTTTTTCTAAAGAACGTGCGGCCGCCATTATGCAAATGAAGAGCAGGAAATTCAGATCCTGGCTTCATTTGCAATTTCGATATGTCTAATTTACATCCCTCTTTAGAAATAGGGATGTAGTTTAGACATGTCCGTAGTAGGACTGAGCCCCAAAATGCCCAAACTGATATATATTGCTTCGGTGCCCAATCACAAGGATACGTGGATGGGGCTGCCTAATTAGAAACACAAAAGGCTACAACAAGAAAGCTAGTTTGTTAGTAGATTTAAAACTGTTACGGATAGTTGGTCTACTCAGAGCAATGACAGAACACCACAGGACAAACCAAAGGGCATTGTGTAATCATTTTTTATATCTCTAGCAGAAACATTTGGCTTACTGAAACAAACATTTTATTAAAAGCAGTATGTAAAGAAAAAACCCAACTCCCTAACTTTTCCGATCTAACAGACAGAGCAGTAAATCCTGTGCTATAAACTGTGTAGAGATCATACAAACAATGCTCATTTTCAAACAGGGAGAAGGAATAAAAAAACAGCACCACTACCACCCCCAGACAAAGATATAGCCACATATGATAAGGCTGGTATGAACAAAAAAGCCTCATGCATCTGCAGAACATATGTAAAACAGTGTAAAAGAAAAAACGAAACATGTGCAACTATCCAACGACAAAAAAGGGGTACAATCTCTTTCAGACAGAATGCTCACAGGAATCTGTTAGGAAATTCTTCTTCTAGCTAAATCCTGGGCTTGGCAAGTCAAAATAAAGGTGGCATCAAGAGCAGAGACAATGCAGGAGTTGGGATCTATAACTCTTCTGCAATCTGAAGTAATGAGTTGATAGCTGCATCCTTGTTCCCCCTCTGGGCTTCTAGCACTGAACGAATTACTTCCCTGTCCATATTGGGAAACATGTCTTGGATTGCTTTCAGATCTTCTTCATTACACAGGTACTGAGGGTTGACTGCAGGAGGTGGCACTGCCACTGGTACCATGCCTGGGTTACA